AAAAGTGAAATTGAAATTGTTAATATGTCAGAGGAACTAGGAGAAAGGTGACCCAGGCCTTGTCTGGAGGTGACACACAGAGGTGACAGAAGGGGGTGGCACGCTACAGCTTAGTTACTGAGACAAACCCTGACTACGAAAGCAGAGAAGGGTTTGCCTCGCACTTTGAAGCTACAACCATCACGGCAGGTGGCGTGGTAGGGGAAATGGGGGCAGCGGTCACAGGCCCTCACAGTCCAGGAAGAAGAAGTGAGTGCGTGTGTCAGCTCAGGCTCCCAAACCATCGACGGCCCACCCACACTCATAAGCACCGCCAGAGGCAGGCCTCCAAGGGGCTTCGAAAATCCGCTCAAACATCCAGTGAAAACTCTCATACTCCACCCCTTGTCAGCTGGATAACCCACAAGTCACTTTCAGCTGCAACATTCCACTCCTGTCCTCACGGGTTCATGGCCACACAGCGATGGAACATATTTATTTCATCTTTGAGAGCCTCAAACCTTAGCACTTCCGACATTGTTCAAAATCCTGATGTCTCTGCTTTGCAACTCAAGGCAATTATCTTGAGTGTGAGCCTTCAAACAATGAAAACACAAGTCACACGTGCCCAACATACAGCGTCACAGAGTGCATTACCATCCCACAGGAGAGAAGCGGAATGTTGGCAAGACCAGACCAGAGCAACACAAAACCCAGCACAGCAAATACCAAACAGCCGCAGGCCCTGCCAGCCAGACTCTGTCAGAACAGAACTCGAATGTCTCTGACACAGTCCCTGTTGTCATTCTCTCCACCTCCCCACCCGAAACCCCATGTTCAGCTCAGTCATTGCTGTCTGCATTTCTCCTGGTAGACTGGCCTCCAGACCTGCTGGAGTCAAGCTCTGCAAACCACATTCCAGGTCTTCGCTAGCGAGTAACTCCAAATGCCTCTACGGCCTCCAACATGCCGATCCTAAGGCTCTAAGAAGCCATGAGCAGGCTGACCACAGCCGTGGCCCCACTCTTCAGCACCACTCTCTGACAAAAGACAGCTAACAGACTTATTTTGGCTCATGGTTTGAGCGTGCAACCTGTGCCAGCAGAAAGCTCTGGGGCAGGAGGCAGCTGGCACACTGCACCCGGGAGGAAGCTGAAAAGATGGGTGCCGGAGTTCCCTTGCTTTCTCCTTACTCCTTCTATTTTGCCCAGAACCTCGGCCCATGAGGCAGCGTCAGCAATATTCAATGTGGATACACCCTCCTCTGGAGATGCCTCTGCACACAAGCCCAGGGACCTATCTCCTAGGTAATTCCACGTCCCCTCAGGTTGACGATGGCGATGACCCGCCGCCATTCCTGCGTTGTTCAACCTGAAGGGATGGTTTTCCACTTCTGCAGCACCTATCAGAGCCCCGACTCCATGGACCTGGGTCAGGAGAATTACTTGCCTGTAGGATTCACAGCCACCCTGGGCAACATGACAAGATCCCTAAAAGAAAAGGGGGAACAGGAGAGGGCTCTCTCTACATCTAATTCTAAATGAGATAAAACTGCAACACTAAAATTTAAATACAAACCTTTTTTACTTTCTTACCAAAGCTAGACTAAGCTAAATTTAAACACGACATCCTACTACTCATAACGAGACAAAGACATTCTATTCTATAATCTCTTTTGCCACGTTGGTCATTTTTCTTTTGTAGCAATACATGAAGAATTCCAGCCAAGGTCTTCTGACGTTCCCTGGTGAGTGGCTGTTCCTGCGTCCTCAAAGTCTTTCCTTTGATTGTTGTGAGATGGATGGAGGCCACTGCTTTCTGGGTGTTATCATAAAACACTCAGAAGAAGATGCCCCCGTTCCCATGTGATAGCCCCTTCCTGCCTGAGCCCTGTGCTGTCTGAGCGTCAACACGAAAGCTCATCCTCAGCTCTGAGATCTCAGAATGGGCTCTGGGGAAGCTGGCATCATCACAGAGAAGACAACACTACCACCATGCACGTCAAAGCCACAGCTGATTGGTCTCAGGCGGACTGCTCTTGAGTCAGCCTGGCAACCCAGAGCTTGCTTCAGGAGCTTGCTGGAGCCAGTACAAACAAAAACGGCACAGCTTCCTGTACAAGCTGTCTATTTCTCCCTTGGAAAGAGTCCTCAGGTGTAAGCTCTCTCTCTTCTAGGTCCATAAATCTACAGCAAAGCGTCAGCCCTCTCTGCTCCACCACTGGGCCACTGGCCACTGTGTAATGGCTCTGCAGCTTTCTCTACAACCAGAAGGTGCAATAGATCTGTCTCTAGCAAACACTTGTTCCTTCACTGGGAAAGTACAAGCCACTCAGCCCACCCTGCACCAGCTGCTTTTTCTTCCCCCTCAGAGCAAAACAAAAGAGCTTTAGCGTCATCGGTCACTGAGCCTGTTCTTAACAGGGCATCCGACCTTAAACACACCTGGTCTCTCTGCTCAACCTCCCAAGCTTGGAGAAAGAGAGCTGGGAAGTCAGCACCAGCCCACCGGGCTCCAGACTCTGAAACAGGGGACTGCTTTGCTCTGAGCCACCAGTTATATCCGAGCTGAGAGGGGAAGCCGGGAAGAGGGAGGTGAAAGCAGCTCGCATAGAGACTGGGATTCTGGCAAGAAGGGGGTGTCACTTGCTCCCCAACCTAGGCACATGCATTATGTGCTCTGGCTCCCCTGAAAGGGGGTGGTAACCATCCAGGATTCACAGGACAGGAAACCTCCCTCTCCAAGCCCCGCTTGTTTCACACACTAACCTCAGGAACCAGCAACAGCCAGTCCAAAGGGCCTCTAAGCAGGGCCCCGCACCCCACATGCCTGGGACCCCAAGGGCTGGCCATCTCTCAGTAAAGCCACAGTTGACAAAGATAAGCTTGGAAAGTCTTTCAGGTACACAATAGGGTTTTGTTTTTTGTTTGTTTCATCTAGACACACCCTGGAGGGAGGCAAAAGGCAGGCTCATGGCCTGCGGGGGCAGTCTCCCAGTCTGACACACCTCCTCCTCCTCCACACTTCACTGACTGACTCCCACCATAACTGCATGCTGAAGGCTCATTCCATCCAAGTGTCTCAACTTGAACATTAACAAATGATTGGGGATTGACCCGTGCCCTGAAGAAAGTTACTAGAGAAAATGAGTGCCAACTTGCGTCTACCACAGGCACTGTGGGAACAGTTCCATGAGCGTACATCAAGTCCACACTCCGAACTCGGCTGGAGGTGCAGTCAGCAGCGAGTGTGGGCTGGCAAGACCCTGAGTTCGCACAGTGTGGGAGCTGGGGCTGCTCTTCTGGATGTCTTCCCAGACAGCTTTTTCTGGTCTACCTGCCTCATCTGTGTCTATGTCATTATCCTTCCTGCTACTGTGCTCTGACCCTTGCTGCGCCAAGGGTTCACACACTATCTGTGTTTACAATCGGAAAGAAAACCAACGCATTCCGCAGAATGTTGGGCAGAGTGAAGAGAGTCCGATGCGCAGCCTCTGAGGAGGCTTCGGAGCAGGGCAAGTCAGGCTGGACGCTGCTGGGACACTGCCACGCGCAGCCCAGCAGAGAGACTCTGCACACATGATGGTGGGGAAGGGTCATGCGTTGCGGCCAGCTGAACCACCACACATACAGAAGCACAGCGACTGGAGTTTAACACAATTGCGGAATCAGTAACAGGAGCTGCAACGCATTCACTGAAGCCAACCCCACCAGCTGATGGCTGGCTCCTTATTACAACCTCGTCTACAGCCATTCCCTCAGAAACCGTTACTCCCCGCTAAGTTTTTATCAGGCGTTTTGATGATATTTTAAAACATTTTAAAGAGAATGTTGATCACTATGAAACATTTAGGAAACATAGCAAAGCTGGAGTTTTTAAGATTCACTTATTTTATATTATGAGCATTTTTCTTGCACGTCTGTAATCGTGTACACACGTGAGTGCCTGGTGCCCACAGAGGCCAGAAGAGGACACTGGCTGCCCTGGAGGTGGAGTTGCGGATGGTTGGGAGCACTAAGTGGGTGCTAGGAACCAAGCCCAGGACCTCTGCGAGGGCAGCAAGTGCTCCAAACCTCAGAGCCATTTCCTACCCTGCAACGTTGCTTGTCAAAATCACATACATTTCATCAGCACTGTCGGTGTTCTGGTTTACTTATTTCTATCTGATTTGTTTAACTTCATAGCTATTTAAAATCAACATGCTCTTTAAAACAACTCTGGTAAAAACCACCAACGCACTAGGCTCTGAACCCCTGTCCATAAAACCAATTATGCATTAGGCCACGTCTCCATGGCTGCAAAACAAGTGACTGATTCAGATTTAAATGATTAAACTCAATGGGAGAGAGTTGGTAGAATGGACCACTGAGTGTCCGACATGAACCAATAAAGCTCTCTTCTCACGTTCTCTTTCTCTTCCCAGAGGCCTAGGAGATGGAAGTGAGGCCTCAGTAAGTGCCATGACTCACTTTGGATGTCACCTTGGCACCCTTGAGAGGATTCATCCGACTGGCCGTGAGCGCGTCTGCAGAGCAGTGCTGACTGCTATGGGAGAGCTTAGCCTATACAGACAGCACCACTCCCTGACAGCTCAGCCTGGGCCCTATAAGAAAGCTAGTGAGCAAGCCAGAAGACACCAGCCAGTGAGCTGTGACCCTCTGTGCCCTCTGCTTCAGTTCCGGCCTCAGGGTTTGCCTTGGCTCCCTTTGACGGTGGCTCTGCAAACTTAAAGCTTTTCCTTAGGTCGGTGTTTTATCACAGCGACACTAAGCAAGGTAGGACGGTTTGGTTGCCTTTCACTTCTGATAGAAACGGATCTGAGTGATTATTCACAAGATTGGTGAAAACGCACGTGCGCACACGCACACACACACACACACACACACACACACACACACGGTGTTAACAGTGTTTTCCTGGCAAGTAATTAAATCATGGTCCTTTTCAAAGGTTCTCCCTCTGCACTCTTCTGCAATAGACTTGCTGTCTGGTCGGAGCTGAGGACGGTGGCCCTGGCTTACCTGATTAGGAAGCTGTGTAGTCCAACATCGAAATACCTGTTTAAAGAGACAAACACACCCGTAAACCAACTACCCACAGCAACGGCAGACTCCAGAATTTACATTCCAAGCATTGTGAAGATGAAGCCATCCTCGGGTCCTCTGGTATGGGGGGCTGCCACAGGGCGGCGATGGCAGCTCAGGCCACACAGGACTCCATCACCCTATTTAGAAGCTCTGGGGACCGAGCCCACAAAGTTTTCCTAAGCCAAGGGGTCCCAGTGCAAAGCCACAGAGTCTGGGAGCACAGGTGCTGAGAACCTGAGCTCTTCTGCACATAAAGGCCACAGCTGGGTGCCAGGCACTCTCTTCGTGGCAGTAGGAAGGTCCTTTGACAACCAGCCACCCCAGCGTTTATCCACCCAAAACTGTATGAAATGGGTTTGAAAGCCCAGAGCCACATGCCCAAGGGAGGAGGGTAGGTTAGCGCCACCTTTGGAGCCCCACGCTGTGTGGGCCCTGCCAATCTCCACCTGGAAGCGCCCTGTCCACAGCTGTCTGCCTGAGAGAGCCTGGACAAGGGCGCTGTCCCATGCCTCACCCAGGCCCTCTGCGAGCCCAGACAAAGCCACCCCACATGGCTCATGTTTCTTGACTCTGGTACCCCGGGCCAGCCAGGGCCCTGCTCTTCCTGGGGTCCGAGGTGAAAATGCTGGGATGTCCGCACACGGTGGAGAATCTCTGCTCATCTCATGCCACGGGCGATCAGACTGGCCTCCTGGACTGCGAGTCAGCCGGAGGACAGAGCAATTGCTATGCCTCCAGGCAATGGGCACAGGACTCCCCCAGCAAGGACTATGACCGCCTAGGCCTATTTCTCGATCCTGCACTGTCTCTAGCCACCCAAGACGGGCACCTTGGGGCACAACTAGTGATTACTGGCACTACAGCAGGATTTCCAGGGGTTGCCTTCTACAGGTTCATCTTTACAGACTGTGGACTAAGGCTAGGTGAGAAGAGAGAACCCAAGGCCAAAACACAGACAGCGTCAGTCACACATCAGTCCCTGGAACAATCACAAACTTCAGGAAGACTGAGATTCGAGAAATACAAACTGCACCAAGACGCGCACATGAGACCAGGAAAGCTCTGCCACGGCCCAGCACGTTTCGGCGGTTCTGCGTGTGTAACTGAATCCTGTGGTTCCTGAGAATGAACTCTGCAAATGGCAAGGCCAATGCCGTGTCACAAAACCAAAGCGTGGAAGTGTCTGCAGGGGAGAGCTGCCCACAGAGGTCTGGCGCCTTTCATTTGATTTGACACCAGACCCTCCCTACGATTATATTGAGGGCAACTCTCATGTAGGCAAATTTCCACAGCACGGGGGCTGGAGGGGTGGCTCAGCAGGCATGGCGCTGTCCTGAGAGAACCAGGTTCAAACCCCAGAACCCACACGGTGGATCACGATAATCTGTAACTCCAGCTCTAGGGATCTGACGCCCTCTTCTGGCCTCCATGGGCCCTGGGCTGTGATACTAAGACATACATTCAGGGAAAACATTCCTCATACACATACAAACTTTAAATGCTTTTTAAAACTTAAACATCCACACCACAAATAATGAGAGTAAACGCACAATTCTGGAGAAAGAAATGCCTGCAGAGAAAACCTCCAGTTTTACGACCTGAGGCTCGCACAACAGGCCTCTCTCAAGCTCCAAGGTTCCACAACCTTCCACACAGCACGGCCACCTGTGGGCCTGGGGTGGGGCGGGTCACAGTTGAGCCACAGCTGACTGAACATGTAGACTACAGCAGGCGCTGTGCATGTTCGCTGCTCGGCGGTGCACGCCGCTGCTGCCGAGACGGTGTGTGACTGCGGGAACAAGCATGCAGAGAGCTAAGTAACCATGCTGGGGGCCGGGAGGAGCCTCCGCTGGTGCCAGGCTGAGCCTGGAGCACGTGATGCTCAGGGTCCCTCACCCCCCACTCCCCACCCACTCACCCCCACCGACCCCGACTTCTGCTTGGCCCAGGGTAGCTGGCCTGCTCCAGCATCCCTCTGAGCACACGGTGCCCCAGCAGTCCCCAGAGGCCCAGACTCCCTTTGTTGCTAAATGGAACTGATGCTCGCTCCCCACCCCACCTGGCTTCTCTCCGCCAGCTGCCCTGCTCAAGGCATCTCCTCTAAGCAGCTGTTTTGTAGGTGCCAGCAGACCCTGGGGCCTGCGTCTGGAGGGCTCCGAGCTGCAGCTCCCAGGGCGAGGGTGAAAAGACCCCATTCACGGGGGAATTGCAGGAATTAAGAGATCTAATGCAGAAACGTGGCTCAGCACGGCACCTGGTGCACGGAAGTCCTCAGCATCGTGGGCACCATTTCCAGAGAGCCCCCTGAGGGGCATGCTCCGCACAAAGGCTGAGATGCCTCACAGTGCCCCAGGGCCCAGGCAGGGCAGCAAGCAAGCTGAGGACGGCGGAGGGAAGGTGCTCCCCCCTGGTGCTCCCGGGGTTGATGCCTATGATGAGAAGTTAGAGCTATCCCAAAATGAAGATTGGGCATGACAGACTGAAGCATGGACAGAGGTAGTAGAGGGCTTTCAAAGAAGAACAGGCTTTGTTTGATCATGCTTTGGGAAGCTGAGGAAGTGGTTGCTACAATATGTCAGTTAAAGAGATCGTGTGGGTCATCAGGAAAAGATGGGGTGGATGATGGGAGGCCCCAGGGGTCATTCCAGGTGGGAGAAAGGCGACTGTCACTCACCATGGAGCTGTGTGAGTGAAGCTGAGGGTAAATGAGGTTGGGAAGGTGTGAAGAGCAGCTCCAAGAGCCTGGACCACCTCATTCTGCTTGGCCTCACAGCAGTGACCTGGGTCTCTGGCCTCCCGTGGCCCCCACAGTAACAGTCGGTGGCCACTGTGTCCAGACCGGAACAAAATGACCAAGCTGCACTTGGGTGACCTCCTGTGAGAGCTGTGGGTCACAAAGGCTGATTGTTTTGATAGTCCCGGTGGGAACACGGTACATTTGCCATCTTCCCCGTCTTTGGGCACACAGACCAACGCCACCAAGCACATCCACACTGTGGCAGAGGTCAGCCTCGGCAGAAGGGCTCAGCGGTGAAGGATTCAGGCCCCGTGAGCCCATTCCCTGCAAAGCACCCCACCAGAGCTGCGCCTCCATCACCTCCACCTCAGAGCTGAGCTTCCCATGGGCGCCTTTAAACAGCAGCTCTCCTCCTAATCCCCACAGCCACTGCTCTGTCTCCACAGAGATGACACTTCATAGTACCCCACGGAAGAGGGCAAATCAGAGAGGTCCCTTTCTTGGTGCCCTGTCCTCAGAAGGGGTAGTCCAAGATCTTCACCTACCTGCACCAAGCATTCACAGCCGGACACTGCCTTCAAGTACTTCAGCCTACTGACTATGTAAAAACTGAACATTCAGAATCAGGTACGCTATGAAACACAACAAACTCCGAGAGGCAAAATGTGTCTTCACCAAAGGGAATATTCTAGAAAGCTGCAAAGTCCTAACAAGGCACCAAGCTTCTGCTCACCTGATGAGCTCAAACACAGGCTATAAAGGGTTAACAGGCGGCTGTGGCTTGGCGTGGCCTTGGAGTCCTGCTGAGCTCTGTGTTTAGGCAGGAGGATCCTGAGTTCCAGCACAGATTGGGCTACACAGAGAGTTCAAGCCCAGACTGAGCCACATAGTAAGCCTGTCATAAAGCAGGAGCTGGCACGATTACTTAGCAGGCACGCTGCTCACCACAAATCTGCCGCCTCGGGTTCAAGCCCTGAGCCACGTGGTGGAGGGAAGAGGAGAACCGGTTCCTGTAAACCGCTCTGCTTCCTCACTGTGCTGATATCCCCAATAAACGAACTTTAAAATATAAGACAAGATAAAAAAAAATGCCAAAGGCAAGTGTGGTGGTCACTCCACGGCAGGGCACGCTGGCCTAGCATGTGTGTGGCATGGGCTCCGTGGTTTGGGGTACTCGTGGGAAGCATCTTCACCTGTGAGCGCCCACTGCCACGGCAGCAGGACGCGGCTGGTCACTGTGCACAGATGAGCTGCAGTGACGGCTCCTGAGCCGGTGGCTTTCACTCACCGCTGTGACTGCAGAGCTTCACCAAGCTTCCCCCTAACAAGGCCTCTGCATCGGACAGCAGAGTGCAAATGCACTCAGCGCACACGGGTGTGTCTCCCGATCTGCTGAGACCCTGCTTGACACAGGAGAATTCTGCCAGGCTGCCTGCCTGGAGGAGGCCTCATTCTGGGTCCTCAGGTTGACCTCAGGTAGCCAGGAGTAGAAACATGGATGAACTGGGGCTAGGGATTGCCATGCCACAGCTGGGGTGGTGTGAACTGGAACACACAGGCAGTACTTAACACAGGGTACCGGGCTCGTGGCCTCTGCCCTCAGTTTACAATCTTCACATCCTCTTCATCTCCTCACCCATCTATTCCATCATCGGGCTGCCAAGGTTTGGCATTCATAGTCCTGCAAATGTGAGGACTGACAAGAAGGTGGGAGCTAATCGGACAAGTTGCTAAGACCCGAGCGTGCTTACCCACTCTTGGTGCACTCTGCAATGCTGTTTCTGGGATGGGACGGCTTTGTCCCAGCCTCTCTGACGAAGGCAGGCTTCAGTTAGCATCAGGTGCTAACTGGATCTGGGCATACCGCCCTGGCATGAACACCAAGTTGAGTTCTCTGGAATTCACATATAAAAGCCAGGCACAGGGGCTGGAGAGGTGGCTCAGTGGTTAAGAACACCGACTATTCTTCCAGAGGACCCAGGTTTGATTCCCAGCATGCACATGGCAGGAAGCAACTCTCTGTAAGTCCAGGTCAAAGGTGTCCAAGTGTCCTCCTCTGGCTTGCACAGGAACCAGGACACTCATCTTACACAGCCTCATGTGCAGACAAAACACTCCCGTGAATGGAAGAAAGAAAGAAGGGGGCAGGGGCAGAGAGACAGAGAGAAAGAGGGAGAGGATGAATGTCAGATGGAGAGGGGAGAAAATAGAAGCCACACACAGCAGTACACAC